CGGTACCTCCGACTGGCAGGGCCACCAGGAGGAGGATGAGGGCCAGGGCCCACCGTGCCTGCACCATGCTGTCACCGCTGTCACTGCTGCTGCTGGAGCGGTGCCTGCAGCACACGCCCTGCACTGCACACCATGGCTTGGCCTTATGACTTCATGGGGGGCTTTGTGACCTCGCAGGGTCTTCTACCGGCAACATTCCCCTTCCCAAGGGAAGCTCTAGCAGGGAGATTGCCAAAACTGAAACCAGTACACCGTTGAATGCTCAACAAAACAATATTTATTACAAAGAAGTAGCCAGCAAAACAAGAAGCCGAGAGACAGGAAAGAGAAGGGAAACAAGCCCCCAAGACAACCCCCCACTCACTCAGGCGTTACCAATGAGGTTGTCTTACCAATCCCAGAACGTTTAGAATTCCCCGTAGCAGAAGTTGCATCCTCGGAGTGTTGGCAGGCTCACGAGATAGTGGACGTCCCCACAAAAGACAACGTTGCCCATGTAAAGCTTGAATCTGCTCCCAGCAAGAGCTATCTGCTCTTTATACAATTAACCTGTGACATCTATCTGGACAGGTGTGGCCAGCACCGCCCAGCCAGAGGTCCTTGGTCCCTCCCCCCGTGATGTAAGTGGTGCCCCTTCTGCACATGCGTGTGTACACATCGAGGCTCTTTTCTAAATGAGTCAGAGGGCTTCCTTCATCATCCTCCTTGTCACTTTCTCCTTCAAATAGCCAGTCACCAATTAATTTCAGTTTATACAGGATGCTTCCTTCAAGGACGAAGTTCTCGTTTATCAGTGCTTGTTTTCACATAAATTGGCAGGAAAAGAACAGACTCTCGCAGGTGGTTGGGCCAAACACAGACCAAAAGCATCTAATTAAGCATAAATGCAGAGGCCCAAACATTCCGCAGCTGCCAGTGACAGATCAAGCAGGCACAGCCCTTCCCCAGTGCCAAAAGGCTCTCTGGGGAGCTGCTTTAGAAAGTTCTGCAGACTACCTGGGTGTTCACCTGTCTCCAAAGCAAACCTCAACACTCCTGGAGCTGCCTAGGAGTGTCAGGCAGCTGCCAGCACAGACCCACCCCAAACATGGACCAAATGCCTCATGAAGCTCCCTTGGAGGAGTTGGGAGCTGACACCCTTTGTGCCCCACACTGGGCACCAAAAGGACTGTCCTGGTTTAACTCCAGCTGGCAACCAAGCACCACAAAGCTGCTCATTCACTTTGCCCTTGATGGGGTGGGGAGGGAACTCAGGAAAGCAAATAAAATAGACCCGGTGGGCTAAGAGCAGTTTAATAATTGAAACAAAGTACACTCTAATAATAATAATAATAATAAAGAGGAGAGCGAGAGAGGGAAAGAACACTCAAGAAAAAAAGTGATGTACATTACAATTGCTCACCACCTGCTGACCAATGCCAAGCCAGTCCCCAAACCCTGACTGGCCTCCCATTCCAGATAACTTCTCCACTTTGTATACTGAGTGTGACATTCTGTGATGTGGAGTATCCCCTTGGCCAGTTCGGGGGGGCTGTCCCAGCCATGCTCCCTCCCAGATTTTAGGGCACATCTTCCCTGGCAGAGCATGAGACACGGAAAAGTCCTTGGCTCAGAGCAAGCAGCTCTTTGGGGCCACCTCTCCCTTCTCCTCCCTGATTTGCTGCCCTGTCCCAATGGCCCAGCAGCTCCCACTGTGGGAACCCCCTGGCCACCAGCTCCCCATGTGCCTGGCACAAAGCTGGGGGACATCACCAACGGGGGCCGGCTCAGCAGGTGTCCCAAAGGTTCCCCCGGCCCAGCACAGCTCCCACTCATCCAGGTCTGGGGGACTCCATGTAACTGCTTCTTCAACCCTCAGAGCTTCTGCCTCCACTGGACCAGCACCAACCCAACCTCCGCTGGTCACCTCCATACTGAGCCATGGTGCCACTGCCCTGGGGGGCCCCAGGAGCTGCCCAGACCAGAGAGGTCCATCGTGACACCTCACTACCTACCAAAGGAGTGCGAAAGAGTGCAGTGGCCACCATGCCTGCAGACCCTGCTAGCAGCAGCACAGAGGGGACAGCAGTGCCCCCAGCCCCCACAGTGCTGTTGATATTCCTCATGGCCACCATCACAGAGGCCTCCCCAGGCAGCCACATCTCCCAGGGCAGCCACATCCTCCTCCTCAGGGATGAACACTGTCCAAGGACATGCTTTGGGATTGCCCCCTGGTTGGACAGGATGACTTCAGCAGCATCCCCAAGGCTTGGGACCCTGAAGCCATCCTCCACAGAGACACTGGCTTGCTCTTGCTGCTGGCAGAGTTGCTCAGTCCCACTGTGGGACTCCACAGTGCACCACAGTCTGAGAGCACCACAAGAGCACCACAGTCCTGAGCCTGGAGCAAATCACCACTGGCAGGATGGGGTCCTGGGAGCTGTGGTGGAGTGCAGGGATGGACCCACCACCATCCCAGCCTGCCATGTCCCAGCCTGGCAGGGGCCACATGAAAAGCAGGGGGAGAAGCAGAAGAGCACCAGGCCAAACCTCCCCCCCAGCAAGTGCCAGGTTCTGGCAGCCAGCACTGAGGAGGATGGTGGTGGGTGGGAGGTATGGGTATATTTGAGAGTGGAATGGTGATAGATTATAACTTTATGAAACATTTACTCCTGGGTGTGTTCCACTAAAGGCCATTTTTCCAAGTTGCTTTGTGCAGGAGGGGGAGGGAGCCCTGGGGGCACTGTAAAACAGCACCCAGTAAGTACAAAAGCCACATTGACTCCCAGATTAGAACCAGCTCCGAGCACTGAGCTGCCCCCAGGGCTGAGGCATGGCCAGCAGGGACTGCAGTGGTGGGGGGTGACTGCCCTGTCCCCTTCCTTGGGGGAAGCAGCCAGGCCTGACAGGTCTGTGCAGGACTCCTGGACATGGCCCCATGCAGAAAGGAGCATGGAGCCCTTGGGACAAGGGCAGACGGGGGGGAACAGGGCTGGGGATGGACACACGCAACAAGGGATACAGTGCCTTCATCTTGAGCGTGAGCAGCATTCCCTGAAGTGGGGATGGGCTTGGTGCAAAGCCCTTCAAAGCCTCGGGGCAACCATGCCCTGCCTTGGGTGTCCCTACGCTTGGCTCTGCAGCTCGGCTGTGCCACGCAGCCAGAGCCAAATCACCCCAAGAGTGGCAAGGGATCGGCCAAAGGCCAGGAAGGAACCTTCCTCCCCTGGTCTGGCTGAATTGGTGAGAAGTGCCTTGAGTCTTCATCTCTCTTGGTTGCCCATTTCCCATCCAAAGTCTGGACCCCATCCCAGCTCTGGACCCTGGGAAGGTGCAATGCCATTGGCATCAATCTCCCCTCACACACTGATCCACCCAGAGCATCATCCTTGCCCCAAGGCTCCTGTCCCTGTAGCAGCTGCACTGCCATCGCCCACCACCCTCGGGGCCGTGCAGTTCCTCTGCCTGAGAGACCGAGAGACAGGGGAAAGAGGAAAAGCCCAGAACTTCAGCGTTGGTTGAACAAAAGTTAAAGCACATGCTGCCAAGGTGCATCCCAGAGCTCTGAGGGAACTGGCTGATGGAGTTTCCAGGCCACTCTCTGTGCTGTGGGAAAAGTCACAGCAGTCAGCTGAAGACCCAAATGATTGGTAAAGGGAAACTCCACCGGCCCAAGATAAATTTAAAATATTGTGCTTTATCCCCATGTGTGGATGAACAGTGTGTCCAGCCCCAAACTGAGTATTCCAATTTAACAGATGCCAGTGCATTAATGCCAGAGAGATGGGCTTTGGATAGAATTCCTTATTACTTTCAGTTAGTTCCTTAAACAACTTAAAAATAATCTGAGAAGTATCTAGAGTTGTAAATAAAAACTCAGAGCAAAGTATGTTTTTCCAGGGTTACATTAAAATGTTCATAAGTGAGACCTATGTCTGCTTAAAAAGAAATACCTGGATCCTGGGAACTACCAAATCTTCAGCCTCAGCTCTGTGCCTGGGAAGATCATGGAAAAGATTCTCCTGGGAGCTCTGCTGAGGCCCATGGAGGGCAGGAGGCGATTCGAGACAGCCAGCAGAGGTTCTCCAAGGGCAAGTCCTGCCTCACCAACTTTCTGTGATGGAGTGACTCCGACCTCGTATGGGGGAAGGGCTATGGATGGCATCTCTCTGGGCTGTTGTAAGGCCTTGGACACGGCCCCCCAGAACACCCTTCTCTCCCACGGAGAGGTGGATTTGCGGGGGGTGTTGGGTGAGTGTCTGTCTGGCCAGTGAGGTGTTAGTTGGGTGGTTGCTGCCTAGAACAAGCTGATCAAAGGGAGCAGCTGATGAAGTAATTTTGGATTTCGGTACAGTTTTGATACCGTCTGTCCCAGGGCCCTCCTGGAGCAGGGAGCCGCACTCCCCCCGCCATGACGGGGCCCGTGGCCCCCCCGAGCGGCGGAGCCCCGGCGCCACCCGGAGGTTCGGAGCGGGAACTGCAGCCCCGCCACCGCCCCCCGTGGGGGGGGTCACACGTGGGGTAATGGGGAGGATGGGCGATGGCTGGGGACGTGGCGGCGCAGGATCTGGGCGTTCCCTGGTGCTGGCAGGCGACAGGGGGTCCCGGCGGCGCCATTGAAGGGGCCGCGGGTGCCCTGGGAACCCCAGTGGGGCTGGAGGGACAGCTGGGGGGGAAAGCCCCCCCGGGGAAAAACGGGCCGGGTTGGGGGGGGGGGCGCCCCCCCCCCCGGGGGGGGCCAAAGGGGGGGGGGGGCCCCCCCCCCCGAGGTTCCCGGGCGGACCGCGCGGGGAAGGAACCGGAAGCGCGGCCGAGCTTGTTGCCGTGACAGCGGGCCCGGGGCCGCCAATGGAGGCCCCGCGCTCCAACCGACAAATGTATGACCAGCGGCGTTGCCGGCATCCTGCAGCACGATCGTAACGTGGAACGGAGTTTCTACGTCGTCCCTCCTCGGGCTTCCTCTAACTCCGCAAGAACCGAACTTCTATCGCTCCTGCTGCGGCCCGGGACCGCCTGGCTCCGCCTGGCGCGGCACAGCATGGCCCTGCAGGTACCGGCGGGGCCCCGGGGTTGACACGGCCTGGCCAGGCGGTGGCCGGCGCTGACCCCGCCCGCGGGGCCGAGCTGAGCAGGCCGTGTTCCTCCGTCCGGGCAGGGCGGGGGATCTGGGGCGGCAGTCGGGCAGCACAGCAGCCCCAGGGGCACCGGCGCTGCTCAGAGGGGTGCAGGAGGAGGGAGAAGGTGGAGGTTGCACCACCGTGGGCGATGGCGGCAGCGTCACCCTCGTAAGAGGACGAAGAACCTCGGGGGCAGGCGGAGGCTGCGAGACCCCGGTGGGAAGAGCTGGGGCACTGGGCCGCAGTGGGCTTACGGTGGGGCTTACGGGAAGCCGCCATCAGGAGCCCTGGGAGCAGGGAGCCCAGAGAGCGGCCGGGGGCAGATGAGGACGCGGGAGTCGTGGGGGGAGCGCGTCTGGGCTTCGCTCAGCGAGAGCTTGTGGTCGGCACGGGGCTGGCCCCGCTCCTGGACGGGAGGGGCAAAAGCCCCGACCTGCCGGGCTCGCGGTTGGGGCGGCTCTAACTATGGGCTCTTCTGGTCTGTTATTAATCTTCATTGGCAGAGAGCAAAACAGCTTGTGAGCAAAACAGGGTGAGGCTGGGTTTGGGGTATTTGGTGTTTGTCTGCTCGGACTGGATGAGTTTTCCTTCCCAAGTGTGTCAGGCCTAGGGTGCCGTGGGCAGGGGGATGGGGGCATCCCTGCCCCTTCCTGCGGTGCTCCGTAGCACACGGGGGTCCTTGTCACCCCTCAGGGCAGCTTCTGCTGTGCGCTGCGGGCAAGGGGGGATCCCAGAGAGGGTTCAGGCTGCACAGGGAGGGCACGGAGCACAAACCACTGGGCAGAGGGGCAGCGCTGGTGGGGGCCCCGTGTAGTGTCCCCCTGGGGCCGTTTGGGGCTGGGCACAAGGAGGGAAGTGCAGTTCTGGCCACAGCGTTCCTGCCACAGGGAGCTGTTGGTCAGGGCAGCCTGCTGGCTGCAGCCAGAGGGACCTAGAGCCTAGGACAGTGCAGAAGGGGCCCCTGCCTCATCCTGGCTTGGCTGCAGCCCAGGGCATGGACATGGGTCTGAGGTGTTGCTCTGCATGATCCACGTGGGGCTGGCACTCACCTCTCTGCTCCATGCCTGGGGAGGAAGGCCAGAGTGAGGGGCACAAGTTTCTGTCCTGCTGTGGCTGCGCTGGCAGGAGCCCTCCCTGAGCCATGTCCTTTGTCCTGCACCTCATGGGCCCAGAAGAAGACTCGAATGGAGCAGCACCATGGACCAGGCATGCCAGTCTGCTACTGGAAGCACTAAATCTGACTCTAAAACATTGATGGGAAGTGAAGGAGGACTGTGTTTGACACTTGCACACTTTCCAGAATACGTTTACAGTGCCAATGCCCTGGCACTCGAGGGGAGACACTGCAGCCCCTTCAGGGAGCAGGCCCAGGGCCCAGGTCATCGTCACCCCTCACTGACCTCCTGAGTTCACTTCTGACCTCCAGCCTGCACTGGACAGGCATGGCCAGGAGGCAGGTGTGGGGTGGGATTGCATCTCCTGGGGTTACATATCCTCCAGCCCCATCTTAGGGGCTCTGAGTCTGTTTGGGCACAGCTTCTCCTGGGACAGTTCATTCTGTTTGCTCCTTGGAGGCTTGGTCTGAGTTCCAGGCTTCAAATAGCCCCTAGGTGAGCCCTGGAACATGGAGTGAGGAGAGATTCCCTGAGAGCCCCTTCCCAGCTAGGAGCCAGAGCTCACCACTCTGCTTTTCCCTGGAGTAACCAGCCCTCTTTGCAGGCTGGGGTGAGGTTGGCTGCCAGAACATGACTGAAGAAACAATTCCAAAATGCTCCCAGGAGCCAGGCTGTCTCTGAGGTGTGTTTGACACGGCTGTGGGACTTTTCAAAGAGTCATCAGTAGGTTTTGTTGGTGACTGAAGCAGCTTGGGGTAGGGAGGAATGTGTGATGCCCAGAGAGGCAGGGACAGGAAAGAATAAGTGCTCCAAGTGTGTGCTGCTATCCTCTCCTTCTCCCTGGTGTCACAGGTAGAGCTGGTGGCTCTGACTGCTCAGTTTGCTCTTTCTCTTCCAGGCATTCCGAGTGTTTGAGCGGATGGCCAGGCAGGATGATGAGAAGAGGCGCCGGGAGCTGGAGGCAAAGCTGAGGAAGAAGGAGGAGGAGGAGGAGGCAGCTGCAGCTGCCGAGAGGGTGAAGCTGTGCCCTGCAGCTCAGGAGGTTGAGGTGGAGACAACGGAGCACATCCCAGCACCAGATGTCGGGGGAGCTGTGGGCACAGAGGAATCAGCTGCAGCCCAGGGTGCCACAGCCCCCAGCTCTGTGTCGGTGGAGCCTCTGGGGGCTGCTGCCCCAGCAGAGTTGCTGACGTAAGGATCTTTTACTTTCTTCATGCTCCTGGTAGGGGGGAGACAAAACCACAGACAGGGTGTTCACCGTTTCCTGCACAACCCTTTTCGGGGGTTTGACCTTCCTCTGCAAGCACTCGGCCCTTCGGGAGACTGTGAAGATTTCCCTTACGGGCTCCCATGGCCGGAGACATCACGTAACTCCCTGCAAGAGGGCAGGGGTTGTTGTTCTGTGGGTGGTTCAGTGTCTCCTGCTCTGCTCTGAGCAGGGGAAGTGGCACAACCCTGTATGCAGCCCTGCAGAGCTGGGCTGGGCCATGTGGCTCCTCCAAGTGCTGGCTTCAGTGAGCAGTGTCCGTTTTCTGGTGCTCGCTGATGGAAGTCCTGGCACCTGCCTGCAACCCTTTTGTCAGTGTTGGACTCCTCTGCCAGGCCTGGGACAGGCGGCTGCAGCAGCAAATGGGTTCGGAGCCCTCCAGAGGTCTCTGGCCCAGCCCTTGGCTCAGAGCAGGGCCAGCTTTGAAGATCAAGCAGGCACTGCAGAGTTTTCTCTTTATCCAGTCTTGATGGCTTTCCAGCAGGGCCAAGCAGCCTCCGTTTGTACAGAAATGTCTTTGTGTCAAAGTCCTTCCAGGGCTTCTGAGACACTTCCAACCTGACTGTCTGCTGAGCAGCAGGAGGTGAGCTCAAGCAGGCTGGCGAGGCCTCTGTGAACCACGTACCTGAGTGCACATCCTGTGCAGGTCTCTCTTGTCCTTCCCTGGGCATCACCTTGACCCCAAGCCGGGGCAGAGCTGCCCAACCCTCGATCAGGGCCTCACACCCCTCAAGGTACAAGCTCCTGTGTCTCCTCACTGCCCAAGCCGAGGGAGCAATGCCATGAGCAGGCCGTGCAGACCCTGTCTCCTCCTCCTTTCCCTGTTGTGTCCTGTGGTCAGACCTCACACAATGGCTGCACTGCCCTTCTCTTGCTCGCTGCAGCTGTCCTGGCCATATGTGGGGCTTCACTGCAGCCTGTCCCTGCTGTCCCACTAGTACTTGGTGAGGAGGGCAGCTTGGGCTGGTGATCTCTGTCCTTCCAGCCAGTTTTGGACATATCACTGGGGAGAGCAAGGCACCAGAGGGAATCAGGGTCTAGTGGAAGAGCCCCAAATCCTGGAAGGACTGGGATGCCCAATGCCTCTGAGGAACAGAGAGGATTTGGAGCCCTGACTTAGGGACTGTCAACCCTTGGCATATGGAAGGGACAGTCTGAGGACCAAAATTTTGGGGGCTATGGGACAATAAGTGGTAGGAGTGTGGAGGTTTAGGTTGGATACTAGAAAAAGGTTCTTCCCGCAGAGGGTAGTCGGGCACTGAACAGGCTCCCCCAGGCAGTGGTCACGGCCCCAAGGCTGCCAGAGCTCAAAGAGTGTTTGGACAATGCTTTCAGGCACATAGTGGGAATACTGGGGTTAAGCCCCCTGAGCAGGGCCAGGAGCTGGACCTGATTATCCTTACGAGTCCCTTCTAGCTCAGGATATTTCATGGTTCCACTATTCTAGGACAGTGGTCGAGTCAGGTCCTGCAGCCTTGACTGGACACAGTGGTGGGGCAGGGCCCGAGCGTGGCAGCTGTCTGGGCAAGGGAAAGGGTACAGGCCGTGCCTGGGCAAGGTGCCTGCCCAGTCACCTGATCTGATGGGAGGAGGAGAAAGGACTTGTGTGTAACTGGCATGCATTCTGCAGGATAAAAATAAGCCAGAAGCCAAAAATGAAATTACCTGCAAAGCCTGTGCCAGAGCTGTCCTGTGAAAGGGGGCTGCCAGTCTGACACCTCTCCCTGTGCAAAATTAGCAAGCCAAAAGCCCTGTGGGAGCTGGCCTGAGGGTGTCTAGCCCAGCTTTATCCCAATGGAGAGGAGAGGGAGAGACTGGAGGAGCTGGCAAAACCATGAGCAGAGGGAGCTGGGGTGGCCTGAGTGCCAGCTGCTTGTGCCCCTGTGCAGGCCACGTTTGTTGTGTTTTGCCCCATGAAATTTCCTCTCGGGCCTTTTGTTGTGAGGCAGCAGCTGGTGCGAGGGAAGTTAAGCTGCCTGAAAACTGATGTCAGGGCTGCAGGAAGGAAACTGGAGGGGTTAGGAAGGAAGGTGAGGGGCAGTGTGCTGCCAGAATGTGTCTGACAGCGAGTGTGCTGAAGCCATCAGGGGTGGTTTCTGCTGCGGGTGGTGAGAGCCTGGTGAAAACTCAGCCCTCACATGTGCCACCCTCTGAGTGTGTCCTGGCACCAGTGGAAAGTGGCCCCTGTCAGACGTCAGGCACTCAGGTGCTGTTTTGCAGCCTGCGGCTGTGGCATCAAATGCCAAGCCCTGCTTGGCACATCTCCCCTTGAAAAGAAGGTACCTTCAGCCAAGTACGGGTGCCCCTGTGGCTTCTGCCCTCCCAAATGGTCTCTTCCCCCTTTGCTCTTCCTGCTCCCTCCACCCCAAACTCTCTGGTTGGGTGGAACACCTGCACCTGCTTGGTGGCTGCCCAGTTTGGGCACGTGGTGGGTGAGACCAGGCACAGGAGGCTGTGTCCCAGGAAGCTCCGGTGGTTTCCAGGCCAGGAGAACAGGGTATCTGTGGGCTCGAAGTAGGGTAGAGCAGCCCACGGGTTTGTCATTGGGCTGTAGTTGGTTTCGGTGCCTCTGGGGGGCACTGGAGCCCCCCGAAAGGCTGCGGGGGCCGGGCGGGCGGCCTGGCCAGCCCCCGGCAGACTATTAATAATTTAACCAACTGCTTAATTCTCCACAGCCCTTTCTGAGCAAAACCCAGAGCTACCAGCCTAGGTATGAGGGGCGCATGAGTAATGTGCAACTCTGGCAGCAGGAATACAGAAAAGAGCTTAAACAAAAATATTTTCCATCTCCCTTCCTTCCCCCCACCCCTCCAGCCACTGGTGAAGAAAACCGCTGCCACCAAAATCTATATAAAAACTCGCTCATTCTGTCAACCTGACGGCTCTGGGAATGTAGGGCAGGTATGATCCCAGATCTGCCAGCTCCCATCAGAGCCTTGTGCTGCGCCTGGGTGCTGGGGCACTGGTCGGGAGCCTCTTGCAAAGCACAGCAAGCTTTTTCAGGGCCGATCCAGATGAATCAAGCCGGCTTTGTGGGTATGGAGGTTTGCAGGGCTTGGTTTGGGGCTCAGCCAGGTCTCCCCGAGTCCCTTGCCTTCCCATCCTGCAAAAGGCAGGTGAATTGGTTCCTCTTTGCTGCCCTGTAAACACACCGAGGACTGAGGTGTCTTTGGGGTGACGCTCATGCCAGGAGCAGTGCTGAGGGGGACCAGAGGTCTCCGTGCCACAGAAGAAGCCGGGTTCCTCTTGCAGCTGCCCTGAGTGTCCTGGCCGTCCTTCCCTGGCTGTCACGGTTCTCTTGCTGTCCCCACCTCGCTGGGAGGGCAGTGGGGTGCAGACCTTCCTCACACCCCACCATGGGGCTGTTCATCCCAGGGCTGGCATTGCAGCTGCACAGTCCCAGGTCTGGCTCTTCCCCCATCTGCTCCCAGAAGCCATCCTTGCCTGAGCTCAGCTCCTAATTTTGAACACCTCCGCTGCCCAGCACCCTCCCCTTCCCCCAGCTTGGATTCCATCCTGCATATATTTGCCACACAGCATTTAAAATAGAGCCTGGCAGCCCACGTGTGGCACTGCACAGCCCGGCCTGTGCTTGTGCTTTCTGACTCCGGTTCCTGGCTTCCCTCTGCTCCCCAGTATGAACTGGGGGGAAGCTCTCAGCCCGCTATACTGTGAGTCCTGTCCCAGGGCTTACTCCATGTATGGGCAAGAGGTAGGAAGGGGCAATCCTGGGAGCCTGTGGATGATGGTGAATGTCTCACCTTCTTGCGTTTCTCCATCCAGCTTTTGTGTCTCTTCCAGGTGCTTCAGCCAGGTGTGCTCAGGTGTGCTTCAGCCCGGCCTGTGCTTGTGCTTTCTGACTCCGGTTCCTGGCTTCCCTCTGTTCCCCAGTATGAACTGGGGGGAAGCTCTCAGCCCGCTATACTGTGAGTCCTGTCCCAGGGCTTACTCCATGTATGAGCAAGAGGTAGGAAGGGGCAATCCTGGGAGCCTGTGGATGATGGTGAATGTCTCACCTTCATGCGTTTCTCCATCCAGCTTTTGTGTCTCTTCCAGGTGCTTCAGCCAGGTGTGCTCAGGGTGGGGCAGCTCTGGTCTGTACCTTAGAGACTAGCTGGGCAGGTGAGGTCTCTCAGAGGAGGATCTGTGGGTGTCACTACCCCCAGGGCTGGAAATGCGGCCAGTGGGACACAGAGCACTGGTGGGTGCTGGGTGGGTGCAGGAGGGCATGCAGTGTCTCGTCCCCGAGGAAGGTTTTGGCTGCTGCTGGGGGATCTGCCACAGTAACAAGCAGAGTGGAACAAAACCCTGAGTTTCTGTGGCCTCAGCCATTTGCCTTCTGCTGCGTGGAAAAGGAAGAGGCAGCTGAGGTGAGGAGGGGCCTCTTCATGGCTCCACCACTGCCTTGTGGGGCCTTGAAGGAGACCCTCCCGGTCTTACAGGGTGTGCGACCTGGGGAAGGGACTCCACTCACCCTATGCACACAGTGCCATTGTGCCAAGGAAGGGAGCAAACAGGATGCTGTTGAGCCCCGGTCACATGGTCCAGGTGAGCCATGCTGCAGGGCCAGTCCCCCTGACGCTGCTCTACCATCCCTGGGAATGGGTTTTGGGGCTTGGCAATGACCTACAAAAATCCTCAGTGTGTGCCCTGGCTTGCTGTCCCTGGTGAGCAGAATTGACTCAAATGCATTAATTGGTGAGCTGACTCCTGACGCTCCAGTTCTCTCCTGAGACCCACAGCTCCCATTCCCAGAGCCTCTAGACTTGGGGTTAACCCTTTGCGAGGTTAACACGCTGGGAGCATCCCCGGGATGACACAGCAGCACTCTGGGAAATTTCCATGAGGCTCCTGTGCGAATCTGATTCGACTTAGCAACGGTTTGGCTTTGCTGGAAGCCCAGATGGCGTTTTGTCATTGCAAG